ATTTTGCCTGTTTTAATATTTTACATAAACAGAATTAAGTGACCTCTTTTGATCAACGTAGTTTGTTGGATTCACCCATATTATTTTAAATAAATGGAGATTGCTCATTCTTGGTGCTGCGTAGTATTCCACAGAATGAAGGCTCCAGTATGTATTTGCTTCCCCGGTGGCTCAGCTAGTAAAGAATCCACCTGCCAGTGCAGGAGACACAAGAGACGTGGGTTCAAACCCTGGGTCAGGAAGATCTCCTGGAGAAGGAAACATCAACCCACTCCAGTATTCTTGACTGGAAAATTCCATGGGCAGAGGTGCCTGGCAGGCCATACAGTCCATTGGGTTGCAGAGTCAGACATGACTGAGCGTGAGCACGTGTATGTGCGTGCATGCGCGTGCGCGCGCGCGCACACACACACACACACACACACAATGTATTTACTCATTCTATTGTTGGTGAGTAGTTTCCACTTTTTGGCTATTATGAATAGGGCTACTATGGACAGTCTAGAATGTATCTTTTGGTAAATATGTGTACTCGTTCCTGCTAGGTATGTACCAAAGAGTGGAATTGCTAGTCACAAGGTGTATATGAGTACTCCAACCAGTTTCCCAAAGTGGATGTTATTTATATTCCTAGAAACATTTAGAAAAATTTCAGCTGCTCCATGTTTTCCCAAACACTTGATATTGTCCAGTCTTTTTTAATGTTGGCCATTTTAGTTGGCTGTGTAGTGGTATCTCGTTGTGATCTTAATTTGTCTTTCCCCAGTGATTAATGAGGTTGAACATCATTTCATATATATATGAACCTTCTGAATAGCAGCTTTTGTGAAATGCTGTTAAAATCTTTGCCCATTTTCTGTTTCTATATACTCTTAATTATTTTTAATACCTAATAATACATGAATTTCTCATCCTTGAAAAAAATACTCCAGCTAAGATGGAGTCTCCTTGGACAACCCAACCGCATCCTCTTGCCTCTCCCAAAATGTGGTTTCTTCTAGACTTCTCTATATATTTGCCTGAATGCAAATATTTTGTGATGATTGCATATGTACTAGCTGACTTTCCCCCATCAATGTGCATTTTGTCTCTTTCCAATTTTTCTCTATGACAAGCGTGTTGAAATGGGATCGAAAGGAGAGGATCCTTCTGGTTCTAAAAAGGAAGTGCTGGGACTGGCCCTTTCTGTCTATAGCTATAGAAAATAGATAGGGACTTCCCAGGCAGCCCAGTGGTTAAACCTGCATGCTTCCACTGCAGGGGGTAGAGGTTCAATCCCTGGCCGGGGAACTAAGATATCAGATGCTGTGAAGTGCAGTCGAAAAAAAAAAAAGATTAAAAAAATAGAATATAGATATATATTCTAGACAGATTTCTGTCTATATTTATAGAATACATGGATATATTGTTAGATATCTGTTATATATATTGCAATATATATGTATATATATTGTTAAGTGCTTGTGTTTAGTCACTCAGTTGTGTCCGGCTCTTTGCAACCCCATGGACTGTAGCCCACCAGGCCCCTCTGTCCATAGGATTTTCTAGGCAAGAATACTGGAGCAGGTTACCATTTCCTTCTCCAGGGGATCTTCCTTACCCAGGGACTGAACCCAAGTCCCCAGTGTCTTCTGCATTGCAGGTGGATTCTTTACCAACTGAGCCATCAGGGAAGCCCCCATATATTTTTTAATATACATATATATGTATACATATGCATACATATACATGTGTGTATGTGTATATATACATGCATACGTATACATATGTATATGCATGTGTACATGTGTGTGTACATACATATACACACATATAGATATAGACAGACTCACACTACAAACAACCCGAGCCATGAGATTCTTGAGAGCAGAGACAAAGTCTGTTCCCTGCTCGCACACTCTACCTGACTTTGTCCCTAACACCTCATCTGGACCAGGTGCTTCTACTTGAAGCGGTTGTGGTAGCCGGGCCTCCAAGACGGAGGCCACTGATTCTCACTTGTATTCAGGTCCCCTTTTACATTGGATAGGGCAGTTCCGTGTACTGATAAGACATTGCGGAAACGACAGGGTGTGACTTTGAAGCCAGGTCATAAATAATAGGGCAGCTACTGACCTGCCCCTTCTTGACTCATTCACTCTGGGGGAAAACGACTGTCAGGTGAGGACACTCACGTGTCCTAGTGGAGAGGGCCACTCGGTGAGGAACTGAGGCCTCCTGACAGCAGCCAGCGTCAGTCAGCCAACACTGTTAGGGAGCCCCTGGGAGGGAGGTTCTTCAGTGCCAGTTGAGTCTTCAAATGACTGCCTTCCCAGTTGACATCTGACTGCAACCTTGGGAGAGACACTGCCCGGAATCACTGAGGTAAGGAGCTTCCAAATTCCCAATCCACGGAAGATAAGAAATATGTATCATTGTTTGCTCAGCAATTTGTTGTTTATTTGCATATGTCATTTAAGTCTATTGCATATTGTCATTTAAGTCTATATGCATAAGTCTATACATATGTCTATTTCCTCTGCTAGACCATGAATGCTGTTGGGGTGGGGACAGTGTCTGTTTTCTTTTCTTTCATTTTTTTTATTATGGCAATTTCCAAGCATAAAGTTTGAAAGCTTTACACAGTTCAGTTCAGTCGCTCAGTCGTGTCTGACTCTTTGCAACTCCATGAACAGCAGCACGCCAGGCCTCCCTGTCCATCACCAACTCCTGGAGTCCACCCAAACCCATGTCCATTGTGTCGGTGATGCCATCCAACTATCTCATCCTCTGTCGTCCCCTTCTCCTCTGCCCTCAATCTTTCCCAGCATCAGGGTCTTTTCAAATGAGTTAGCTCTCCATNTGGAGTTTCAGCTTCAGCATCAGTCCTTCCAATGAACACCCAGGACTGATCTCCTTTAGGATGGACTGGTTGGATCTCCTTGCAGTCCAAGGGACTCTCAAGAGTCTTCTCCAACACCACAGTTCAAAAGCATCAATTCTTCAGTGCTCAGCTTTCTTTATAGTCCAACTCTCACATCCATACATGACTACTGGAAAAACCATAGCCTTGACTAGACGGACCTTTGTTGGCAAAGCAATGTCTCTGCTTTTTAATATCCTGTCTAGGTTGGCTATAACTTTCCTTCCAAAGAGTTTCACACAGTGTATACCCATATACTCAGTGTCTAGAGTCTATAATTTTGGTTGATTTATTTTTCACCTCTCTATCCTTTAATCTATCCACTAATCTAGCTTCTTTTTCTGACATATTTTAAGGTCAATTGCAGGGACTTTCCTGACGGTCCAGTGGTTAAGAATCTGCACTGGCACTGCGGGGATCTACGGTTCCAATTTCTGGTCTGAGAACTAAGATCCCGCATGCTGTACAGCACAACCAAAACACAAAAAACAAAACAGTATGCATATCATCAACTAGGGTTCCATTTTTTTGACTTATTTTGTTCGGGTAAAAAAAATTGGGGGGTGGGGGCACAGTCCATGGATACCCCTTAGGTAAATTTTATGTAAGGTGAAATGCACAAATTCTGTGTATTGTTTGTTGATTTTTGACATGTATCTACATCTATATAACTAAAACCTCTTTCAAGATATAGAATATTACTATGCCAAATCCAGCATAACCCTCGTCTCCTAGCCCCCTGTCCACGGAGATAATCGCTGCTCCTGTGTTTACATCACAGATCAGTTTTACCAACTTTCGTCTTCATGGTCATTCAAACAAATTACATACTAACTACTCACTCCTGTAAAACTTCTTTTATTTAGCCTTAAGGGTGTCTGTTTCCTTGATTCCTATTCATTCATTCATTCATTCAGGAAACTTGTCAAACACCAGACTTGTGCCAGGCACTTAGCTGAGTGCTAGAAATCAGGGCTGGGACCAAGGGGAGGCAAGCCAGCTGCTCACTTTCAGGCTCTTGCAAGGACTGGGTCAACATCTAAGAGTGAGTGCCTTTTAAAATTTTGCACCCTGGGCACATTGCTGACTTTATCCTGGTCCCAACCCTGTAGGAGATAGAGGAGTGCAAGAACTGAAAATGATCTCTTACCTCTTTTTGCCCCTACAGTCATTCAACACCTCTGTGTTAGTTCTTCTGCTAATACTACACTTTTAATTTACATCCAGGATATGTTTTGTTCTTATTATGGCAAGTCTGCCCTCAGTAGCAATACCTTTATCGAGTGCTTACTGTGTGCCACCGTGTTCTAGTAAGGGGTCCCCAACAGCCAAGCCGTGTAAGAAGACAGGTATACCTGTGAATAGGAAGCAAGAAGACCCCTATTACCTGATAGAAACAATGAACATTCATGATTTTAACTCATTTATCAAGCGCTTACCGTGTGTCGAGCACTGTGCTAAGTACTTGGGAAACTGGCCGAAGCTTTAAAACCACCCCACTGAGGTGACCCCTTGATCACTTCTCTTTAACAGATGAATAAATTGAGTTAAGAGGTGAAATTGCTCCCCCAAAGTCAGAGCTAGGGAACGCGACGGCAGGATTTGCACAGTTCTGACTTCCAAATTGATGCTATTAAACCACTGTCTGTCTCCCAGAGAAAACACTCAACACATTTTAAACAGAGCACAAGGTAAGCACGTAAACATAATTACATTTCCCAACGCAGTTTTTTATTTAAAACAGTTATTCCAAAAAAATAAAAATAAAAGTTATTCCCAGCATGTCCTTCTCGCCTAGGCTGGGAGGTGGAGGGAGGGCTGACAGAACTACTTTTCCCAGGATGCAACGCTCCTGGCTGTCAAGCATGTCGGGAACTGTAGTCCTCCGAGGAGATAATAACCCATGGCTCCCAAAATGCATTTGGAGCCTGAACCTTGCCGTAGGAAAAGTCCAGTCGCGCAGCATGCTGGGAAGCGGGACCGGCTCTTTTCCCGGTTTGTCTCCCGGACGAGCGAGCCTATTTTTTTTTTCAGGACTACAATTCCCAGCGGGCTGTGCGCGAGAGGGCGGGCGAATTCTTCTGCCGGAAGTCCGCTCTACCTCTGGGTCCCCCAACAGCTGCCAGAGCCGGAGCCACCCAGAAGCCGCGGGACCGGGGGCCGCTGGGGTCCGGACGGGGGTCGCCATGGTAACGAGGGCGCGCCTTTGCTGGGGATGGGCGACGGGTGGGCCCACGTGCAGGTACTACAGGCTCGGTGCGGTACTGACAAGCCGCCCCTGCTGCGGTGCGAAGGTCTGGGCCGGGCGCGGGCTCTCGGGATTGGGGCCGATCAAAGGCCGGCGAAGGGGGCAAGTGGGGGTGGTTCTGGGCGCGAGTGTGTACTGGGGTTATCGAGGCTAGGGGGGCTTTTAAAGACCAGGTGCCAGGGGAGAGGGCTGTGCGGAAGGGAGACATTCGAGGTGGTTGGAGGGTTTTGAAACGGGGAGGCAACTCACGAGGCAGGATCTCAGAAGCGGGGAGAAGGAACTGGAGGTGGGGAGGGGGCGTCCCAAGCGGAGGGCTTTCCGGGAGTGCGTCAGGAGAGCTAGAGAAGAATGGGAGACGTTGGGATAGGAGAGAGGGAGTCTCTAGGGGCAGGAAGCTGATGTGGCGGGCGGAGAGGGGCTGTTGGAACTGGGTGGGATACTGCTGGTGAGAGAGAGTCTTAAGGGTAAGAGACTGGACACTGGAGACAGGAAGTACTGTAGGGAGTGAGGCTTTAGAGTTAGGAAAAGTGTGCTGTAAGAGGGAAGAAGGCTTGGAGTAGGGAGTGAATACTACGCATGAATGGGGAGCAATGGAACAGGTCTCTGCAAGAGGAGGGGTCTCAGAGGGCAGTAAGCATGGGAGGGCGTAAGCATGGAAGTGAGAGGTGGGGAGGGGGTTTGGGGAACAAGGGCCGGGCATTGGAGCTGGCACCAATCCCCAGGGATGGGGCACCCTGACAGAAAGCACTGATACTGAGAAAGCAGGAGTCAAAAGAGAGCAATCCAAGGGGGCCGGGAGGACTTGGAGGTAGAGAAGGCTGCGTGAGGGGGCGGTACTGAGAGGGGACATCAGAGGGGCGAGGATACAGAAAGGGTGGGACTTCTCAGTGTGGATTCCCTGAGATGGAGAGACTCTAGTTGGGAGGAGAAACAGGAAGAGGTGTGTGAGGGAATTCAGGAGTCAGAGACAGAGCTCCCCCTTAGTTCTGCTCCCACGTCTCCTCCCTGTCGCCTCCATCTGTCTCTGGCTCTGGCCCCCAGGCTGTGGCTGCCTGGTGTGGGTCCCACCCCCACCCCCCACCCCATGCCCTTGGCCTGCCTGCCAGGACCCCTGCCTTGCTAGGAAGTGGTTTTCCCTGGCTCAGCAGAAGGGGTTCTTGGAAGGAGAGTGTAACATCCTGTTCCCGTCCAGCTCAGATGAGTCGGGGGAGGAGGGATGGAGTGTGTGGAGAATGAGGGTTACGAAAGAGAGCAGCCTCTCATGACCCGGTGGAGGCTTCCACCAGTTAGGATAAGGGGATTCAGAGCAAAGCCTTTGGATTCCCAGCTCTGCTTTCTGGCTGTGAGACTTCCATTCTCTGAGCCTCGATTTCTTCATCTATAAAATGGACATGAGCACGCCCATCTCCAACAGAACTGGGCTCAAAGCTGCATGCACTTGGCCCATGATTTTCTTAAAGTCAAATGGCAATGAATTATATTGAAGAACTAATAGTTGTATAATGCTTAGTATGTGCTCGTCACTGTGTTATCCCTGTTGTGTTCATGAGCTCATGCAGCGGTCTCATGAGGGAGGTGCTCTCATTATGTCCATTGTGCAGACAGTGAAACTGAGGTCCAGAGAGGTGAAGTAACTTGCCTACAGCTTCACAGCCAACAGTGCCAGGATTCATTTGGGCTCTAGAGTCTGTGTTTTTAGCCAGTTGGTCAAATGCGTCAGTCGTAATAGTTAATCTTATTGAACACTCAGTATATAAACGGGACTGCACAAAACACTTCTGGGATCAACTTGTTCAGTGTTCATAGTAGCCCTGTGACAGCTGAGCTGGCTTTTCAGAATCTTAAAAACACCTTGCGTCTCCTAGCCATCACTGATGATAATTGCAGCTGACACCTGGCTTGCCTGTTAGTGCCAGCCACTGACTAAATTTATAAACTTATTTAACCTTCAAAACACCCTGACAAGGTGAGTCTTCAAAGGGAAACTTGTTTCACTGTGGGGAAACTGAGGCGTAGAGGGGTGGATCTTTTGTCCAAGGTCAGGGAGGAAAGACTTGGTGGAGCTTGGGACTCAGCGCCCTAGAGACGACTGCAGAGTTGGCCAGTGGACGATAAATCACTCCACAGGGTGTTGGAGGGACCTGGGACCAGAGCATGTGGCCAGGTCAGCCTGGCTGGGCTCAGGGGAGTGGCTGAGACCCTTGGAAGGCAGGCAGCTGGGACACTTGGACCCCTATCTTCCCCATGGGGCAGGGTGGGGCTGTTGGGCTGGGCCACCCTGCCCTGGCTCGCCTACCCCACCTCTCTCCCTGCCTCCTCCTCTTGCCATCCCCAGATCCGCTTCATCCTCATCCAGAACCGAGCAGGCAAGACGCGCCTGGCCAAGTGGTACATGCAGTTTGATGATGACGAGAAACAGAAGCTGATCGAGGAGGTGCACGCCGTGGTCACTGTCCGAGACGCCAAACACACCAACTTTGTGGAGGTGACAGCTGCCCTCACCCCCGCCAGCCCCTCCCATACTGCCCTGCTTTCTTTTGACCCCCCTCTTCCCAGCCTCAGATGGCAATAACCCCTCAGATTCTCCTTCCTCCCCACCCCCCAGTCATTTATTCAGTTTGCCTGCTGTCTGCTTTCCTTTGAGGAGGGTGGGTTACTTTTCAGGGTGAACATTTTCAGACATACAGGTTAGTACAATGAGAAGTCAATTGAAAACTCCTCCAGCTTTCATCAGTATTAAGAGTTTGCATTTTGTTCTATCTTTTTTCCTCTCTTTTTAATTTTTTTTGGCTGAAGAACTTTTTTTTTTCCCCTGGTGCCTTTTAAAAACTTACTACAAAAATGCTCACACACATAAGCGTGGAGAATGGTATAATGAACCATCCCTGGTTGTCATGTTTTCAATTAAGTTAGATCATGGGGGAAGCCCCTGGAGGTCTGGAGGGTAGGATTGCGTGCTGTTACTCCCAAAGGTGCGGGTTCAGTCCCTGATTGAGGAACCAACATTGCACAAGCCATGTATTTCAGTTTAAAAAAAAAAAAGGTATAGAGATAATGACATTTCATCCCTAAATATTTCAGGGTACATCTCAGAAAATAAAGACACTGCCTTCCATGACCACAGTATCCTCAGGCCTGATAAAAGGAGTCCTACTTCCTTACTAATGTTACTCTAAATCCAATCAATATTTACATTTCCCCCAGATCATCAGAGGGCTTCCCAGGTGGCCCTAGTAGTAAAGAACCCACCTGCCAATGCAGGAGACGTAAGAGACGCAAGTTCAATCCCTAGGTCAGGAAGATCCCCTGGAGGAGGACATGGCAACCCACTCCAGCATTCTTGCCTGAAGAATCCCATGGACTGAGGAGCCTGGCAGGCTGCAGTCCATGGGGTCACAAAGAGTCAAACACGACTGAAGCAACTTAGCATAGCACAGATCATCAAAACTGATTGTCCAAAGCCAGTCAGGGATCTTGGCATTGCTTTTGGTCTCTTTATTGAGATGCTTCTAGCTTTAATTCCCACGGTAATAGCCTATTAAGAGACCAGGCTGATTGTCCTGTGTGTGTGTGTGTGTGTGCGCACGTGCGTATGCACGCTCGGTCATGTCTGACTCTCTGTGACCCTGTTGACTGTGGCCCGCCAGGCTCCTCTGTTCATGTAGAGTTCAACAGATATTTATTGGCGGCTCGCTATGTACCGAGTACTCTTTCAGGCACTGGTGATACAGCAGGGAGTGAAACAGAGCCAGCCCTTTCCCTCAGAGAGCTGACCACTGAGGTTTTTAGTTTTAGTCCATGGGAGGCTGTTATTATAATGAAGATATAGTGTATCAGGTATGATAGATGCCAGGGAGAAAAAGGAAGCAGCTGTGGGGGATGGAATGGCTGGGGTGTATACAGTGGGTAATGGGGAGTGGAACGTAGGTTTAAATGGTTTTATCAGGGAGTCTTCATTGAACAGGGGACGTTTGAACCCAGACCTGAAGGAATGGAGACGTGGAAGGAGATGATATCTGAGAAAGGAACGTTCCAAGCCCACGGAACCATAAGTGCAAAGGCCTTGAGGCAGCAGGGCGTACAGGGGCATTCCTGGAATAGCAAGAAAGCTGGTGTATCTGAGGTGTGGTAATCCAGGGAGGAAGGTGGGAGCAGATTGAAGGTATAACAGAAGCAGGAGGTTCAGGGCCTTGTGACCTGTCATGAGGACTTGGGCCCTTACTCTGAGCAAGAAGGGAGCCACAGGAGGCTTTTGAACTGAGGAGGGAGGTGGGCCAGCTTAGGCTTTAGGGATCCCTTTCTAAGGGGCAGGAGCAGAAGTGGGGGGACTGCTCAGGAGGTGACTGCTGCGGCCCAGGTGAGAGATGCTGGTGACTTTCACAGTCATGGAAACGGGGTGGTGAGAAGCATTTTGAAAGGAGAGCCAGTTGAAGGGCCGAAGATTGGAGGTGGTGTGGGAAAGAAAATGGAGTCGCCAGTAGGGGGCGCTGTCATTTCTCCAGATGGGCTGACTTAAGCAAAGAACAGGTGGAAGGGAAGATCAGCAGTGGGGTGTCCATTCCTAACCGAGTGGAGATGTGGGTGGCGGGATGATGAAGGGAGGGGAGTCGGAGCATAAGGGATGTCGGCTCTCCCGGGGCACCATGCTGCCAGCGCAGGGCCAGTCCCACGCTGAGTGCTGGAAACAACAGCATCTGAGGGACCCGGAGTGGGCAGGGAGGCGGATTAGAAGGAGCCAGAAAGGTTTGATGCCAGCTGAGAATGTCACAAGGGGTCTGGACCATCTTAGACCCCTCCCGACCCAGGCCCACTCCAGACTGTCGCCCTGTGCAGGGCAGCACTGGTGACACAGCGGTGACAGGAAGGAGCCAGGTGGATGATAGCAGGAAAGAAACAAAGAGAACTGTTCAGGGTCAGACCCTGCCAAGGCCACACCAGCAAGTAGAGTTAACATCCTGATATATTCTTACTAATCCATGGATTATGTGCAGGAGCTACTGTCATAATATTGGGGTTCCCTGGTGACTCAGCGGTAAAGAATCTGCCTGCCAATGCAGGAGACGTGGGTTCGATCGCTGGGTCGAGAAGATCCCCTGGAAAAGGAAATGGCAATCTGCTCCAATATTCTTGCCTGGGAAATCCCATGGACAGAGGAGCCGGGAAGGCTGCAGTCCCTGGGGGTCTCAAAAGAATCAGACACAACTTAGGGACTAAAGGACGAAACAACAACAGCTCGAAAGTCTAGGCATTCACAAAGATAAGCTAGAGGGAAAAAATGAGAAATCAGGGGCTTGAGTTGGCTTTTGCAGTTGCCAGCAGATGGCGCCACACACATACACGCTGGACTGGAGTTTTCAGATGCTTTGCCAGCCAGTACATCATGGATCTCTTGTCTATGTATGGCTTTATCTACTTACACATGGTGTAAAATTAGAGTCTGCATCCCTGGCTCATGAATATTTATTCCTGGGTTGTATTTATGTATTATGGTAGGAATATTTATATTACGGTTCAGTTAAGGGCAGGACTAGGATTGTCTTGGTTACAGGTGGCAGTGAGCCTGTACCGCTCAGCACAAAGCCTGCCTGCCACCCAGCATGTACTCAGGCAGTGTTTGTGGAAGAACTTGTTAGATTACTTCCAGGCTGAGTAGTTTGACTCCTTCCAGAGGCAACAGCAAGTCAAGGAAAGGGGCAGATGGATACCCTGGAGCACCCCCACCTCTCGGCCCTGGGCTTTTGCACAGTACTGTTCCCTCTGCCTAAAGCACTCCTGCCTGATCACTCCTGCTCATCCTCCAGATTTCAGTGCAGATGCCCCATCTTCCAGGAAGCCCTCCCGGACTCCTAGGATGGGTCAGCCTCTTGTCGCCTCTGAGTACCTGTAGCCCCTTGCTGCCCACTCAGGGGGTGACTAAGGATGATGCGCCACTGGACTGTGAGCCCGAGGCAGGGAGAGCCAGGCCACCCCTCTGTCCCCAGCACAGAGTCAGACTGCAGAGCAGGGCCCCTGGGACCACGTGTGGAACGCAGGACTGTACGTGTTGGTACCATCCTGCCCAGTACTCGGGGTCCTCGGCACGCCCTGTCGCTGACTGCCCGCCTCTCTGCCCCGCAGTTCCGGAACTTCAAGATCATTTACCGACGCTATGCCGGCCTCTACTTCTGCATCTGCGTGGACGTCAACGACAACAACCTGGCGTACCTGGAGGCCATCCACAACTTTGTGGAGGTGCGCGGGTAGGGGGCAGAGGGCGGCAGCACCGTTCCGACCCCTTCTGTTAGGATACAGGGCCCTCAGCTTGGGGGGAGGGGATCCTGTCTTTCTCTGCCCACCTTGATGTTTCCTTTGGGCTCTGTTTCCCTTCAGTTTCTCTCTTGTTTCTTTCCTTTTAATATTTACTGATTTATTTTGCCTGCACCGGGTCTTAGTTGCAGTGCTTGGGATCTTTAATCTTCATTGCATCACGCAGGATCCCTAGTTGTGGCATGTGGCATCTGATTCCCTGGCCAGGGATCGAACCTGGGCCCCCTGCATTGGGAGCATGGCGTCTTAGCCACTGGACCACCAGGGAAGTCCCCGTCTGCCTTGTTTTCATGCCATCTCTTTCTGATGCCTCTGCTCCTGTGTGTATGTGTGTGTGTCTCCTTGCCCATCTCGCACCACCTCTGTCTTCTTCTCCTAGGTCTTAAATGAATATTTCCACAACGTCTGTGAACTGGACCTGGTATTCAACTTCTACAAGGTGGGATCAGGGGGAAGATGAGGAGGAGGGAGCCAGAGGAGGGGGCCGGTGGGGGGCCAGAAGCCCACAGCCACCCCGGTGCTTCCACTGGCGTCTGTTTCCTGGTTCTTGGGCATCAGAACTCCCCAGCCCCCCAGGGGTCCCCCCCACTGCTCACCCCAGGGTCTCCCCATGCACTCCCTTCCCTCAGGTTTACACGGTCGTGGATGAGATGTTCCTGGCCGGCGAGATCCGTGAGACCAGCCAGACGAAGGTGCTCAAGCAGTTGCTGATGTTGCAGTCCCTGGAGTGAGGGCGGCCGTCCGCTCCCGCCCCGGTCCCTCCCCGGACTAGCCTGCTCGTGTCCCTTTTCCGGGCCCGGGGTCCACCCCAGCGGCCCCCTCCCTCAGCTGCCCAGGAGGAAGGCACCCAGCTGGGTCTGGGCCACCAGGGAGGCGGCCACACCCCACGGCCTCGGGGCCCCAGCTGTGGGCGGAGGCCACCTCGCGTGTAACCGTGCTGTCCTCGTGTGATGCCGTGAGCGTGTGCGTGGAGCCCCCAATAAACCTGTGGTCCCCGCCTGGCCTCGTGTCCTTGCGCCTCTGCCTGTCCTCCTGGGGACCACGGGCAGCTCCGGGGGCCCTGCCATTGGTGCGTCGGGTAGTCAGTCAACAAACACGCCTTGGGCTGAGTGAGGTAGCGGGGTGGGGGCAGGGGCATTCACACCTGCTGCTGCCCGCAGACGGCCCCAGGGGACTGGGAAGGGTGACAGATTTAGACACCGAGCTCTCGCTCCTAAAATAATGACACTCAGAGCCAACACCGACATCTCCCAGGCCGTTCTAAGCGTGACACATCGTGCCTTCATTAACCCTCACAAGATGCAGAAGGGATGGTTAGAGGGGATCACTCAGCTCAGAGGGTCACAGAGTGAGTCTGCGGCTGAACCAGGTTTTCTGATTTTTAATCTTGTTTAGCTTATTTTTGGCCGTGCTGGGTCTTCGTGGCTACGCGGGGGCTTGCAGCGAGTGGGGACACTGGCTTCTCTTGCTGTGGGGCTCGGGCTCAGTCATCGTGGCGTCGCATTAGCTGCCCCGCGGCACATGGGATCTTCCCAGACCAGGGATCAAACCTGTGTCCCCTGCGTTGGCAGCTGGATTCTTAACCACTAGACCAGCCTGGAAGTCCTGAGCCCAGGCAGGTGGCTCCAGAGTTCTAGTCCTCAGGCAGAAGGCCTGAGATGCAGGCCCCGGGCCCTGTGTTCAGTGGTTCTCAGCCGTGGCCCTGCCGGCCGTCGGGGCGGGTCAGTTCTTCACCGTGTGAGGCTGTCCTGGGCGTGGCCGGCCTGCCCGCCCCCATCTGCCAGGTGCCGGCACCAAGTGGCCCTCAGCCCTTCTGGCAACAGGAAACAGTCCTGCGTGTTTTCTTTGTTTTTGGCCACCTCGCTCTGCTTGCAGGATCTTACTTCCCCGACCAGGAATTAAACCCGGGACCGTGACAGTGAAAGCACCAAGTCCTAACCACTGGATCACCAGGGAATTCCCTGCACATGTTTCTAGTGCCCTCTGGGGTGGCTGTGCCCCCTCGCCCCATGCCCATTGAGAACAGAGTGGTGGCGGCCAGCTGCAGCCATGGCCGGCACCCCTGGCAGAGCTGAGAACGCCAGGCATGTGGCATCCGTTCCTACTGGTGTGACACAGCTTCGTGTCTGTCTCCCACCTGCAGGGGACGGGCGTGTCCCAGCTCAGTCCCAGGCATGCTGTGCAACCTCGGGGTCAGTCACTTAACCCCGCTTGCCCCTCTTTCTTCATCTGGCAAGTGGGTCGACTATAGTTTTTACTCTCATGGAGTGTCCCTGAGGAGTAAGTGAAGTAATCCTGGTCAGTACCTAGCATCGGTCGACACGCATTCACTGCACAGACATTAAGTGCCTGCTGTGTGCATGGCCCTATGAGAGACACAGGATGCCTATAGACGTGGATGGTGAGCACATCATCATCTCCATTTTATCTGGGACACTGAGGCTTGGGGAGGTGAATTCTTTTCATAGATAAATCGTTCCAACAGTGTATTTGTTTCTTGTTGTTGCTGTAACAAGCTATCATGAACTGGGTGGTTTAAACCAACAGGACTCTGATCACTCGTGGGGAGTGAGAGCATGGGTGGGGGGCACCCAGCTGAGGCTTGGATCTGCAGCTGGGTGATATAGGGTGGGAGGTGAGGTTTCCACGTGCCACTATGGAAGACCCAGCACAGCCTAGATAAATGAATAATAAAAATATTTTCCAGAACATTTCATCACCCCCAAAAGAAACCTGTACCCTTAGCTATCACCCCTCAATCCCTCCATCCCTTCCTAGCCCCGCCCCAGCCCTGAGTCAACCTACTAATCCACATCTACTCTGTGGAGTTGCCCATTTTGGATATTTCACAGAGATGGAATCGTACATTATGTGGGAAATGGGAATGTTTTGAGCTGCGGAGGGATAACTATTGGCCATGTTCAATGTAGGAAGTCAAGGGTGGGAGCCAGGGCCAGTCAGGAGGTGACTGCAACAATCCAGGTGAGAAGTGATGCTGGCTTGGGACAAGCTGGGGACGAGGTGATGGGAGCCGAGAGACGTGATCAGATTCTGGACACATTTTGGAGGTAGAATCAATAGGATTTGCTGATGATTTGATGTAGGGGGGGAGAGAAGTCAGGGATCACTCCTAATTTTATAAGCTGAGCATCTGGAAGACTCGAATCACCTTTTCCAGAAGTGAGAAGACAGCGGCAGGGGAATTCTGTCAAGTTTGAGTTCTTGGGCCTCCAGGGGGAGATGCTGGGGAGGCAGAGGGTCTGGGGTTCAGAAGAGAGATGCAAGGTGAAGACAGACATTTGAAAACACCACAGTGCTGTTGGTGTTTGCTGCCATGACATCAGCCAAGATCACCGAGGGGGCAGGCGTGAAGGGAAAAGAGATCTACAGACCAAGATCAGGAAAAGGAGGAGAAATCAGAAAATGAGACAGAGGCGGGACAGCCAATGAGAAAGAAGGAAAAACGTTCAGTGCAGCACCCTGGAATCAGAGAAAAAAGCATGCTCAGGAGAAGAGAGTATTCACACGTGAAATGCTGTTGAGGTCACCGCAGCTCTATGAGAATGGCTCGTTAAATACACCAAATGCAAAGGAACTTCTCTGCTGGTGCGCTGATTAAGACCCCAGCTCCCAATGCAGGGCCCAGACTCGATCCCTGGTCAGGGAACTAGATCCCACACGCCACAACGAAGCGTTTGCATGCCACAACGAAGACCTGGCACAGTTACATAAAAAATAAATATTTAAAAAGAATGCAGAGTGTGCCAGGCAAGCTTGCAGAGCAACCAGAACTCTTGTACATTGCTGCTTGGAATGGAAAACGGGGCGGGTTCTCTGGAAGGATCTGGCAGGTTCTTGTAAAGTTAAACATTACATTTCCTTTATGACTCAGCAATCCCACTCCTATTTGTTTACCCAAGGGAAATAAAAACTGATGTACAAAATTTCTACACGAACCCAAGTTAAATGAAGACCTAGGTTCATGCAGAGACTTGTCCGTGAATGTTCATAGCAGCATTACTCACCTTAGCCAAAAGATGGAGACAACCCAGAGACTTGTCAACTGATGAAGGGATAAATAAGAAATTCTATGTCCACATGGATGGTTATTAATTGTGTAAGAAGAATGAAACATGGATGCGTACTGCAATATGAATGAACTCTGAAAATGTATGATGACTGAAAGAAGACAGTGGGAAAAGGCCACATATTACATGATTCTGTATCATATGAACTTTCCAGAATAGTCCATGTTTTGTTTTGTTTTTAAACTCCGATGTGTGTTTATTTATTTATTTTTGGCTGCACTGGCTCTTCGTAGCCATGCACAGGTTTTTCCAGCTGCAGTGAGCGGGGGGCCACTCTCTAGTCGGGGTGCAGGGGCTTCTCTCTGCGGCGGCCTCTCTCGTGGAGCACAGGCTCTAGCGTGAGGGCTCAGTCGTTGCGGCGCACGGGTTTCGCTGCCCTGTGGCGTGTGGGATCTCCCCCGACTAGGGGTCAAACCTGTATCCCCTGCAGTGGTAGGTGGGTTCTCATCCACTGGACCACCGGGGAAGTCCTAGGCCAATCCATGTAGACAAGAGCAGATTAATGATTGAGAATGCTTGAGGAACTGGGATTTGGGGGTTGATAGCTAGAGGGTGCAAGGCTTCTTTTCAAGGTGAAGAAAATGTTCTAAAATTGTGTTGACACAATATATGTCTGAATATATGAAAAATCATCAAATCGTACACTTTCCTTTTTGTCTTTTGTTACATTTTCAAACTCTATACTTTAAACAGTTTCATTGAATGATATGTGAGTTATAGGTTAATAATGCTGTTAATGACTGAATAAATAAATCTCACCTTGCAGTGGCAAACAGAAAAACAAAACTCCAACCCCTGCCCACCCCCCAGATGTTATTGTTACACTGGCTTTATTCTTAACCACCAGAAACTGGAAACAATCCAAATGTCCTTCAACAAGTAAATAGATAATAATCTGTGGTCCCTCCAGGCAATGGATGGATATTCTTCAACATGGGCAAAGAACAAGCAGCTGATACAACTCAACAAGGTGGATAAATCTCAAATCTCATATCTTTTTGCTGAGGGAGAGAAGCCAGACCCAGAAGGGTACACGACACTGTGAAATTATTATTTTTGCTTTTGGTTTTTGGTGGAGCCACACGACAGGAAGGATCCTCATTCCCAACCAGGGATTGACCAGGCCCCCTGCATTGGAGCATGGAATCTCAACCACCAGACTGCCAGGGAAGTCTTTTTTTTTTTTTTTTAAATAGCACTGCAAGGCTAATATGATCTCAGTTCCCCAGGCAGGGACTGAACCTGGGCCACAGCAATGAAAGCCCAGGATCCTAACCATTAGGGTAACCAGGGAACTCCCACAATGTTGTTATAAGAATGAAGTGACTGAGGACAGATCAGGGATTGCCAGGGGCTGGTAGGTGAGCTGGGGGCCAAACCACAGTGGAGCACCAGAGGACTTCTGAGGGCGATGGAATTCTTCCATGTCTCCACTGTGACCGTGGGCCATCTGACCTTCTGCCTTGATCAAAGCTCATGGACCTGTCCATTAAAAAGGGTGAGTTTTAGAGACATCCCTGGCGTTCCAGTGGCTAAGGCCGCACTCCTAATGCAGGGGGCCGAGGTTCCATCCCTGATCAGGGAACTAGATACACGTGTCACAACTAAAGATCACTCATGCTGCAACCAAGACCTGGCGCAGCCCTAAAAGAGTGAATTTTATATGCACCTTATACCCCCATCATCCAACAAAATTGCTTCTGAAGTCTAAATGCTGATCAACTGAAGAATGGATAAACAAGACCTGGAACCTGTGGCCCCTGCATTGGCCCTGTGTAGTCTTAACCACCAGACTGCCGAGGAAGTCCCTAGAGGTTTTTTTATTTTTAATTAAAAAATTTTTAATTGAAGTATGATTGATTTACAACAACCTAGAGGTTTGTTTTTTTTTTTTTGAATGTGAAGTCCTCTCT